CACACTTCATAGAAAAATGTGACATCATCCAGTTATTCAGCTCTATATTGTTGTGAGTTGCTGACAGCATCTGAAGTAAACCCGCGTGATGTAAATTTCCAGGACTGTGTCAGAATAATTCAGACGCTGCAGAGAAAGACTGTGGGCTGAGTGACTGGGGTTAAATTCCCAGCAGGTACAGGGATTTTACTGTCACCAGTTCTGAGGCCCAACCATCTGGACTTTGTATACAACTGCTTACCTTCATATGATGCTGAGTACACTCTGAGAAGTTGAGTGAGGAATGCTGTATGTGGTAAATAAGTACAGCCATTTTGTTTCCTGCAGTCTGCCAGAAATGGGAGAGTTGGTAGATGTCTTCTGAATCAGAGTAGCTTGTACAGTTCTTTACTTCAGATTAAATTAAACTTGAGAACATAATATACCTTTGTATATTACTTTGGAATTTGAGAATGTAGTAGTGAATCTCTAGTCACTTTCAAGTTAAATATAAAGTTGAGTAGGGTGGGGTTTCAGAGTGTATGGAGGGAGGGAGTGCAGATCTTTCATAGAAACCAAGCAGACTTTTCCAGAACTCACTGCTGTTTGTGAACACAGAGAAAGCAAATAATTGAGCTTTGTAAACTTAATAAAGCCTCTTGTTTCACTGCCACAATACAAAACATGACATGAATGTACAAATTATATAATTGTGCAGTACCGGCACAGGAATTTGAACCATTTCTCTGTAGCACGAATTCCATTTGTGTTTGTAATAATTGCAGGAGCAATGTGTGGTAGGTGTGGTAGAGTTGGATTATATTTGAGGTTTCCACAAAGTTATAATTAGTGCTTGAGTGGGTTGCTTTCGCATTGCCATCAGAATAATAATAAGTGAAAGGAGAGCCTATAATATTGAGGGATGATGTTACAGGGCCTGCCTGATACTTGGAATCAGTAATATACTAGCATGTAGACGCACGTAGGCAGGTGCAAGTCCTGCTACTCTGTATTCAGCACATGCAAGTAAAAGATGATTAATTTGCACCATTAAGTATATATTATGATACATACCTACTGCTGTGTTGCTCTTGATGTAATCAATTATACTGCTTCATACACTGTTAATATAAAGGCGACAGTATTTGAGCATTGTCCTAGAATAACTCAAATTGTTTTTTTCTAATGCAAACTGACAGTGATGGCCTCATGCTGAATTTTTAAGAACGATGAAACTGTACAGTCTATGTAAGTGTATTCATATATCCAATGGATCTGGCTTTGTTTCCCATGTAAGGTAAAGTTATTCCTGGGCTTGATTGATTAAGCCCCACACCTTGAAAACATATGGAAGAGTGGGCGTGTAACCCTAGCTCTGCCATTCTTATTCTTAACACTAGACGTAAGTGGGTGGTTAGCTTCGCACCCATGCCACTTTACCCCCAGGGAAATAGGATAGGAGTCTAGGTAGGCCCCAGAGCTGGTCTGAACATAATGGGGAAGAGAAAAATCTGTTCCCATACCGGGAATCAAACCGTGACTCTTCAGTTATTCAGCCCAGAGTCTAGTTGCTATACCAGCTGAGCTATCCAGGTTCCTTTGTTTTGTATGTAGTCTATTGATCATTATCATGTAGTGAAGGTGTTGGCCACTTGTTGGTCTTGGTTCCCAATCCACTAGGTCTGAAACTTGCTACCATTCATTAATCTATCGAACAAAATATTCCCACATGTGACGTGTAAATGCAGTGTTAAAGGGGGGGGGGAAGTAAAAAAAAAAGCAAAAGTATCCCTGTACCAGGCTGTGAAGGCCCATAGGGTTGTGAGACGTTGTGGGTCCCACATTATCTAGACCAGCCGTGTCAAACATGCGGCCCCCATAGCCACAAAGTGCGGCCCCTCAACTTTTAGAGCTAATTGATATTAAAATTTTAATTGAAATATTTTTTGTAAAGTCAATTTTCCAACAGACCAGAAGACAAGAAGTCTCATGCAGACATAAATTAGCAGGCTGCAGGAAATTCAATGTTTTGCTATTTCTAACATAATTTCTTGTGTAATCTCTCTTTTTACGCATTGAAAATCTGTTTTATACGTGTCAAAAATGGCATTCTCTTGCTTTTTAAAACTGTAAGATATGTGACCTTAGGTAATTTATATTGAAATTATTCCTAAATAATAAATAGAATTAAATTTCCTTGTATCAAAATCTAATGTATATTTCTATTTTGAAGTGCGGCCCTGGACTATTATTTATAGGGCTGAGGTGGCCCTCTGTACAAGTTGAGTTTGACATGCCTGATCTAGACACTCGGCTCAAAGATGGCGGTAAGGTTGTCAGCCTTACACGCTGGCTGAGCTTTACTCCCCAGGAAAATTATTTAATTAATTCCTAGTACTTATTTCTGTTAGAGGCTGTGTCGACCCCAGGGCCATAGTGCTGCTGGGAGGGTTAGGTCAGCTGAAAGAAATCCATTGACCTTCCAGCTTGTAGTATAGTGCCTCAACCACTATGGCTGGCTACCAGGTACCCCTCAGTGTTAAAGGTTAACGTGAGAAACCTTTGTTCCTGCATTTTATCACCATAGGCATTGTTAGAGGAGTTAAATCTGGAGGGTTGCTGTACACTGGATTCTTTGTTATACTTTCTTATTCATTATATATTAAATAATCCTCTTCATTCAGTGATGTATAGTCTGAGATAGTGACTGTATTACAAAATGAACCACAAATAAAAATAAAGATACTGCATGTGTTCCCCAAATTTGCTTTGAGTGAAGGATGCATAAAGTTGACAGTTCTAGAATTACCATTCTGTACCAATTAATTGTACATATACAGTCAGGTATGAGGATTGCAGTTGCTTTCCTGAACAGTGCGTAAATTAGCAGGTCATAACAGTCGTCATGAATATTTCTGATTCATCAGTGCTAATCAGATTAGATTACAGCCCCCCCCCCCACATATTTCTGAACTATGGTCCTCTTAAAAGTATAATTACAGACAGACACATAACTAGCTTCATAGAGCAGAATCCTTTCTTACAAATTAGTAATTGCCCAGCTGGTCAAGAAACTCTCTGAACCTGAAGGTTCATTACTGTGTTCACAAGAGTGTGCCACTGGGTGTCCTGATCCAGCTGAATCCAGTATGTAGTATTGTGACCTATGTATTCAGCTAGTGCCTCGCCATAGCTCAAGCGATTAGTTGCTGGCTTCCCATCGCGGTGGCCCGGGTTTGATCCCGGGTCTGGTCAAGTGGGATTTGTGATGGACAAAGTGGCGCTGGGGCAGGTTTTCTCTGAGTGCTTCCATTTCCCTTGCCAATCTTCATTCCACCAGTTGCTCCACAGTCACCCTCACTTATCATCTGGGACTGGTACAATAGGCCAGAAGTGGCCGCAGTACAAGGGACTCAGTCCCACCCCACTAGCAATACAAAAAATAATATGTATTCAGTTCAGTTTAATTTATTTATCGTTTTAGTGAAACTGTTGACTTAGGATACACCTTATATGAGTATACACCTATACACATCTGAAAGTAACAAATATTCGAGTGAAGCTCCTTCATGCTTCCATACAGTACAGATAGAAAAAAAGGTAAAGCTATCCATGTAACAGGCCATGGAGGCCCATAGGGTTGTGAGACATCGAGGCTCCCACATTTTCTAGACAGTTGACTGACAGATGGTGCCTCCAAAATACAAAGCAGGACTGCTATCCATTTGACCGCAACGTAGCAGCTCTTTGAAGGAATATATTGAAACATATTATAAATATTGCATAACGTTATTTCTCATATGGTAAAGAAGTTAACAAATGTGGCAGATTCCTAGAAGGGCCCCCAAGGTTTTTTCGACCTACAAATTACCACCCAACAATGACCATAATGAAACCCATGAATCTGAAAAATATCTAGTTTTAACCTAATTTAAAATATAATTCAGATACTTAATTTTAAGATTAAATCCATATTAATAGTAATCAAAACCTTATATATAATCTTAATTTTTTAATCTTAGTTTTAATTTTAAAGACACTGTGCATCTGGAGATCATATTTTAACAAAAGGGTGTATTCGCAAAACAAGTGGTAAAATATTGTAATAATATGGATACATATTGAGAAAACAATTCAGTGACTAATATCACATTTCTGTAGATTTGACTGATGATGACCCTATGAGGGTCGAAACATGTTGCGACACCTTTACCAACTAAATGAAATGCTGGTATGGTAGTATTGATGTGTTTGTTGATATTGTTGTGTAGACCTGTGTACTGTGGCTTACATTTCAGTAATAGTGGCAGTGCAGCGGTAACAATGGGGCACAGAGATATGGTAACATGGTATTTCATTATGATCTGAGGAACAGTGTTCAGGATACTGTTTCTTTAAATCATAAAGCACTCAAAATGAACTTAAAAATATATAAACATAGATGCTGCAATATAATAAATGTAAGATTTGAGGCTTTCACGGCGGTGACTATGAAGAAAGCAGTCTTCTGGGATTTGGCACCGTGTATATATGGTGTTAACCGACGTTTCGGAGGAACGTATCGCCTCCATCTTCAGGGTAGAAGGAAAAATATAAGAAATCCGCAAGCGAAGAGACTTTGAGAACCGGTAAAAGCAGACTCGCGGTCTCTTCGCTTGCGGATTTCTTATATTTTTCCTTCTACCCTGAAGATGGAGGCGATACGTTCCTCCGAAATGTCGGTTAACACCACATATACACGGTGCCAAATCCCAGAAGACTGCTTTCTTCAATATAATAAATGTCTGTTGGAACTATTTTCTGCCATCAACATGGAATTAAACACTGTTTCTGCATATCATAAATATTTTGTCATGATAGGAATGTCTGAAGTGTAATCCTTTAGAACTCTTACACGTATTATGTTGATAGTGCTGAGGTTTTAGCACTTGTTACAGATTATACGAGTAAGTAGTTAGGCTTTCTTTGTATTATTGGTAATTAGAATGTGTTGTAGCTGAATCACTGGTTCTTATTTGCAGATCGGACAGCTGTTATCGATGTGTTGTTATTCATGAGAAGCACCCAAATGTCTTGCAGTATAAAGAGAGTAAGTATGCAAAATTCTCTTCCTCTACTTATTGTCACATAGTCAGAAAAAGAAACAAGAAATATGAATACAATGAACTCCCAGTTTTCTGCTATCCAAGCTTATGAAATTTTCCCCCTAACTGGTAGAAATTTCAAAGAAAATTTATCTTTTTCTTAAAGTTTTCATGAAGAAAATCTATGATGCACATATTGTTCATCTGCTGTGTGGTAGTTTTTTTAGTTGCCACTAGCGGCACAACCCATTGTAGTCCCTCAGACAGGTTCCATTGGAGTATATTGTAACATCATCATGAAACCAGCCTCACAGTACTGTAGTGAAATGTGGGTAGTGGGGGAAGAAGGTGAGCTGGCAATAGAAGCATATGAAGTGAGGTATCAGCAATCATTGTTAGTCTCAGTGAAAGATAAAATAAGAGGTATTGATATAAGAAAACAGTTAGGAGCAGAACTAATTAATGGTGGATGAGATGCAAAAATATTAAAGGAAATTGCATAATCATGTAGAAGGGATGCCCCTTGAATATATTTATCAGCATTAATTTTAAAGTGCCAGATGATAGGACATTCTCTACTACTGGTTATGTCATTACCTTTATCATCATCAGCATCAAAGCATGAGCCAATTGGGTCAGTAAAATTATAATTGCTATTTATTTGTTCAGTTGGTTAATAAACATGCATAATATAGACTAGTTGTGTTTTGCTGCCTGGCATTCAAAGGGCGTGTTGTTGGCAGGCAATATATTGCAGTTCTACTATTACAGCTTTCTGTGACTCGCGAGAGAGTCTGGACCAGATGTGTGGAGAGATAACAGGTGATGCCAATTTGTTCTCCATGTTTCGAGCTGAACCAGCTGATGGGCCTGTCCCCTGCCCTTTTAAGGGTGCACCCTTCACCTTTACATACAACAGAGGATCTGGGGAATGTGGGAGCCCTGTGTCACGGGTGGACTCATGTACAGATGAGTCCCAACTTCTGCTACGGTATCAGGCTTGCCCTGATGTACATGGCACAGAAAGCACAGGTTTGTCACTACAGGAGAACTAGTTTCCCCTTGTAAATGGTACAGTTAAAAAGGTGTACAAACAGTAAGAAGAAATCGGCATTTCCACCTGCACTGTTAAGTCTATAATAATATGTATGATTCAGTTTGGGCATGGAGAATTATCATTATTTGACTAACAAATTATATAATATTTAAGGCTTGGGAAAATTGCTTAGTCTACTGCACATGTACATCCCTCATGTTTTTCGTCTCTGGTAGGGTGTGAGAAGTAATTGTAAATTGTGAAGAGCTTAACAACAGTATTTGTTTTAAATTAGATACAGGTGTACATATTTTAATAAAGTGATACAAAATACTTATATTATTTTATACATGCCAGTAAACATTTCTGATTCACTGTTGTTGCATATACTTATAATACAATATAATACATAATGATGGTTTAAGCAAGATGGATTGCATGTTTCTGACATTTGTAATTTCCTGTAGATATTGATTGTAATGCAGTAACCTTTGTTTCACTGTATGCAAGAAAAGATATATAATTAAGGCTGTAAAATGTCTTTATTTTAATATATATCAGTTCTGACAACTCAAGAGTTGTAATATAAGTTCTGGAGTGTGCATCTTGTTGTATCACAACTGCCTCTACCACACCACTACACTGCTTGGAAGTATTTGGGACATATTTCAGGACTCAAAGAGGTTTTATTGCTGTAAATTTTGAAGTACAGCTTGTGATGTGGTCATGTTCCATATAAAACTCTAGCCAAACCTGTTTTGTTTTTTTATCAATGTTGAGCAGTCCACCTTTCATGGTTTATATCTGCTTCTTAATTTCCTCATTAATTTGTGCTTGTCAGTTTGTATTTCATAAAGATAAAGCTTAATTAATTTTGGTGTTCTCTCATTTGCCATGTTATTCAAGTGAAAGTAAATGATCAATTTCTTCATGTCATTTGCCAGTCCTCATTAGCACAGTGACGTATATAACGTTTGATTGCCGAGGGTCCTGGTTCAGTCTCATTCATGTTTACTAGTGAAAAAGTTTCATTGAAATTCAATGGGGATCATTTCTTTTATATCCAAATAATTTGCCCCCTTTCCTTAATTTATTTTATCCTTTTTATACATGTATCTCCTTCACATCTCTTTCCATAAAAACATGGAATTAAATTATGCCTTTATCCTTCAGATGCCAGTCTTGGATTTAGAGCTGCCACCAGTGTTATTATGCAAAAAGTAAATATTTCCCTGGGAACAGTGTGAGAAACAGCATGATATGCATTTCTTTTTTTGCAATAGGGTGAAATTGAGTCTTAAGACTGAGAAGTGGGCCCATTGTACCAGTGCCAGATTATAAGGGAGGGGACTGACTATTTGGAGGAAAACCTGTTGCAGTGCTACTTCAGTCATCACAAGTCCCATATAGACTGCCCAGGAATTGAAGGGATTGAATCTGGGCCTTCTCAAATACACAGATACCATGTCATATCTAAAGTAAAGTAAAGTAAAGTAAAGTAAAGTAAAGTGAAGCTATCCCTGTAATATCCAAAGTAAAGTAAAGTAAAGTGAAGCTATCCCTGTAATAGGCCATGAAGGCCCATAGGGTTGTGAGATGTTAAGGGTCCCACATTATCTAGACAGTTGGCTCAAAGATAGCGGTAAGTTTGTCAGCCTTACGTGCCGGCTGCGCTTTACTCCCCGGGAAAATTATATAATTAATTCCTGGTACTCATTTCTGTTAGAGGCTGAGTAAACCCCAGGGCTTAGTGCGGCTGGAAGGATTAGGTCAGCTGAAAAAAATCCAGTGACCTCATCGGGACTTGAACCCGAGACCTTCTGGTTTGTAGCATAGTGCCTCAACCAACTACGCTACCACGTACCGTGATACCATGCCATATATATATTATGTAGGTTTCTGTGCGCACAGATCAAAGCCCCTGCCAAAAGTGTTAAATTGTGGAAATGTGAAACCCCTGCAAAAGTCACTACTGAAGATCTGGCTTCTTCTGTTAATTTATTGAAGTTTAAAAGGGACTACATTACAGATCCCATGTAGAGGGTTTAGGCCCACTTTACCAACTGTTATACTTCCCACCTTATAAATTAATTTTATCACCTGTGGACAGGTAAAGGCCAGGATCATTGATGAGACCGTAACTAGAGAGATGTGATACAAACTTTTATTACCCTATGGTTGGCTAATGAAGTGTAGGGTACATTAGTGTTTTCGAGTCCCATCTTGTAAATAAATAATAGAATTTTTAGACCTAGTTTTCAATTTCCTCCTTATTTGCAGTTCTATGATTTTGTGTGCCATGAAAACATCAGATGTGAAGCTCTAAAAATAGGATGAAGGAGGTGGCTTTCTGAGATTTGCTAATTTAAATCTCATCGTTAGTAATTAGTATTCATTGCGAGCGAATTCGTTCTGGAGATCAAAGTTCCTCCTCTGTTACTATTACTGTGCTGTGGAATGCAGTGTACAGCTTACATTTTCATGTATATTGTGCCTTTGTGCCTCTTTTAAATTTGGAACTGATATGACAGTATACCCATAATTGTAATAGAGAGAAAGGATTGTGTATGTAGGAAAAATAAATCATAAATGAATGTGTTTCATATGTTTTGGAATGCTGTCCGTAATGTGTGTATTCCTTGAGCACTTGAGCATTTTGGCAGATTTTCTTTACATTTGGAATTATAAATGTTCACATAATATCAATTTTAATCTAATAACTTACAAAAATATATTTTATATGAAACTGAAACATATAATATTAATATTCATAAGAGACAAACCTATCATCCAATCAGAGAGGATGTTACATAAGGAACGACTACAAGGGTTAAGTTGAAAAAACAATCACCAGTTGTGAGTCTCAAGGGACTTGGCACCAAGACAAACTGATTGGTGGTAAACCGTCAGTCATAAAGTACAAGTAACTTCGATTTTGAAGTCAGTAAGTTGTGATGTGGTAGCCAGCGAGCACTGCTGTACGCATGAGAGTAGAAGAATCTTCACTGTTGGGCACTGTTACCTAGCAACACCCAGAGAACAAATGGGAAATGCTGATGTATGCTGTAGTAGTGATGTGTAGAGTGTGTAGATCCATGAAACTGTTGTACTTACTTGTAGTTATCAAGTTATAAATGTTCAGTAAATCCACTGATCAGTCAAAATCACATGTCTGTTCTCTAACGTTTGACAGTAATTTTGAATTTGAACGCATTTCAGGATATGTTGCTGCAGAGATTATTTCTATATGCCATAAGTGAAACAGACACAGCTGACAGCATTTTACAGCAAAGAGTTTGGATTTTCCATTCCATGTCTTTACTCCAGATAACAATTGCTAGCAGCATATAGCATCTTTATATGAAATTTCTGATGTCATTGCTCTGGGAATTGTTTTATATCTCAAAATAAATTAATTCTTAGAATTTTAACTTACTGATTTCTGGAAATATGTCTAAATTGTGGTTATGATTGTTTCACCTCTGATACCACACCTGTCATGTTATTACTGGAGTATTGCATAGAGTTACTTCTGTTCTACAGTTGAGGAGCTTGTGTGCCTAGCCACATGGAAGGATGGCTCTACACGCTATCTCGTAGGGAAACTGTACCACAAGATGGCCACATCAGATGAGGACCGGTACCGATGTTTTGTGTATGACCAGCACCATCAACACAACCATCACCAGGTTTACCAAGTGGCACAGTCTGGTGATGCAACATGCAATGGTCTGCCCTCAGCTCTGGAAGGCTCTCGAACAATGAAACTTACAACAAGTATGTTAGTTTACAGTGCCTAGTAAAATCCATCTACTACCTGAACACAGGCACATCATCATCATGTCAGTGACATAGACGAGGGCCGCACCATAGCTCAAGCAGTTAGTTGCTGGCTTCCCACCGCGGCGGCCTGGGTTTGATCCCGGGTCTGGTCAAGTGGGATTTGTGGTGGAGAAACTGGGCCTGGGGCAGGTTTTCTCCAAGTACTTCGGTTTCCCCTGCCAGTCTTCATTCCACCAATTGCTCCACAATCACCCTCACCTATCATCTGGGGCTTGGTACTATAGGCCGGAAGTGGCCGCAGTACAAGGGACTTTGTTCCACCCCACTAGCATTAAAAAAAATTAGTGACAGAGATCATTACATCATTAGAAACTTATAGATTCTGTTCTCAATGTAGTTCTGTTATTCACACACTAGAGGGAAGGGTTAATACTTCTGTTACCAGATGGCAGAGGGGATATGTGCGTGATATAGAGTACTGAGGCTCTAAATCTTGAGACTTGAGAGGAATACAGGAAGTTGGGACTGTTAAGCAGCTGCTGTCTGAGTCAAAGCATTTGGTGCTCACTTTACAGTGGCTGTGCAAGTACCATTTCACCCTCTATATCATGCATAATATTACTATACTCAGTGTCAGTTTCATTGCAGTCACAGTTGCTGTGAGGGTCGGTATCGCTGTTACTGTCACTCTGAGGACAGGTTAATGTTTAATGCATGAAACACACATTTTGTGTTTGGTACACTTTCCTGCAAGTCTTAGGTTTTTGAAATAGTTGAAGAAATCATGCTGGGTATATGTATTTAGATTTCCATGTTCAGTTATCTTCCTGTTGCACCCAAAACTAGGATTCTCTGCATCTTTCAGTTATTTGTGCATCTTTTCCCTTTTATTAGCATGGATACTTGGGAGTGTGTTGTGTATCACACTTTACCCTGTGAACCATATACAGTAGAACTTGGTTATAACGTCATCAAAGGGACCTAAAAATAGTGTCGTTATAAACGAATGTCGTTGTAACCGAAATGGGCACTTCCACAGTAGCCTTATGTTAGTCACATAAAAATCTACCAAAAACCGAGTTAAAATGTTGCATTTTTTAGTGAAATACATAGTTAAGTACAGACTAACGTAACATTAACGTGGAATTGCCCAAATGTGTAATATCAAAGACATATTACAGCGCTTTTCACTGACAATACACACCGCACTAATACTGTATATTAAAGGTAGGCTCACTCACCAAATTACAGTAGATTACATCAATTGTTGTGCCTTACTGTACCTAGATACGAGTACAGTAATCAGTTATCTTCATCTGTTTCCTGTTACTTTCCCAATATACACTTTCTAAATTATGTTCAATGTCCATATCAGAGAAATTGAGGAATGAAAATGACGTTACATACGAGGTTGATGCATTTGTGCATGTCGTACTAAGCAAGGTATAAAAACAGTTGCTTTATGAGGAATTAGTTCGTACCATTGAATATTTGATGCAATAGACAAGGTGTCGCAGAAACCGATGTTGCTATAACCAAGTTTTACTGTATTTGTGATTCCATTATGTGGAATAAGAAATCCCACTAATTGATGTATTAATGTGCAGTATATCACTAAAGGTCACAGTGCAAAGGCCAGCAGTTAGGTCTGCCCCTTATGTATGTAATTGATATATTAAACTCTATATTTTGTAGCCTCTGCAGTCCCTTAGATGTCTTATTGTAACATACGTTTAAGAGCCTAGCTGAGCTTATGCACTAACATGTTGTATACTGGTGGCTGTGTTACCATATTAATACAGTATGAAGTGTACTTGATCTTAAAGCCATAAAAGAGTACAAGAGTACCCATGCATTATGACATGTATGAGGTGCACATAAACTTCAGATGTAGATGGAAGTGAGCAGTAACTCTGGTTGTTTTTAACTTCAAGAAAGAGCCCTTAATTCATGTGTGATGGGAGTTTCAGTGGGCCTCACTAATGTTCTGAATGAGGGCATGAAAAGAAGTGGGCCATATCGGACACTGGACAAAGTTTAATGTAAACTGGTCATAATTAATGGACTTTTGTTGCTGAGTTGATAGAGGATCATTAACTTTTAATTGTTATAGTTGAGAATCAGCACAGTCGATGCCGATATCCTATGTTTGTCACGGACCATCACCACTGGCATACACTGGACCACTCACAGTCCTACATGATCCTTCACAAGAACACGACTCTGCGCATCACTAGGAAGGAGGGAGGACAGGAGATGAGAGTGGTGTGTCACAATGAGCATCACATGACTCACCACCAAGTCACCATAGTTGCCCATGCTACGAGTGGGTGGTTAGTATAATATGTTTATTACTTATGATGTCTGATAATAAAGTTCGCGAACTCGCCATTGTGTGCTTGCCATGGAAGCAGTGGGTAGAAACCTTAGTATGGTTTGATGACATTTGGCATATCAGCATTTCACAGCTATGTTGTTTGCTCTATGGCAATCTTCTTCTGAGTGGCATCTATTACCGAGTGTGTTTTGGTGTTCAGTCGTGAGAATGTCAGAGCTTGAAATAGAGCACTGTCTGTGAGGGAGTTTTTAGCTAGTAGAGAAATAACAGCTCAAACACCTACCCCTATTCACCGAATCCAGTCTCCAGTGACTTTTTTTTCTGTTCTTGAACATAAAGGAAATATTAAAAGGGAGGCATTTTGATGACATTGATAATATCAGGTGTAACATGACAGCAGCTCTGAAGACCATTCCACAAAACCTGTTCCAAAATTATTTTGAAAGGTGGACTAGACACTGGCATCGGTTCATAGCTTCCTAAGGGGAGTGCTTTAAAGGCGACCACAGTGATATTCAGGAATGAGGTATGTAGCGCTTTTACTGCAATGAGTTCGCGAACTTTATTGTCAGACCCCCCCCCAATCCCCTCTGGCTATGTCCATGCCAAGGTTTGAATCTGGGATCTCTGCGTATGAAAGAGGAGTGCTAAATACTTAACTGTGTCATTCAGTTACCATTTTTATTGCCACCAGCACTTTCATTACTGTTACAGTCATCCCTACAAACTCTTCTGCTGGTACTGCTACTGTACACTCACACCTTCAGGACTGTGGTCACCACCACCTCATCAGCATTATATCATATTTATGCCCTTCAAGATGTAGACCTTTTCCATGTTCCATATTTTTTTTTATTATTATATTTGGAATATCTGTCATAGAACTGTATCTCTGCTCACTGCAAGCATGTGATTTATAGAACAAAATTTTATATGGGTATCTATTTTATAATTTGGAAACATGTTTCTTCAGTGTCCTTTTTTATTTGGATATTGTATCTGAGAGAGGAGTTATGTGGTGTTATTTTGTTACAGTTCCATGTTGAAACACATCCAGGTTATACATTGTAATGTGCATAAATTCCATTTCCAATATACCTACCAACTGCAATTTAATCTTTTGTGTTTCAGCAATAGTGGCTATGTGTGCATGGTATTCTACAGACGTGAGGGTCATGTCATTGAACTACAGCAGAGCAGTAAGTGTCTTTTTCTTTCACTGTTTCCAGTTGTAAGGCATATTGAAACATGCTGTATGTAATCACAAGAAGCTGATCAGAAGTAAATAAGATAACCTAAATGTAAACATTGTGATTTACTGTCCCCTTATACACGTGTATGTTCATCTGCAGTTCTCTTTGCATCTATAATGAAAGATTCCTGTCTCTCTTTTTACATTTCTCGTATTTAGATTCATGTCATCTTGTTGGTGTATACTTCAGGTTTCTTAACACATTTCTTTTCTGTATGTTTTGTTTACATTCTGATTTCATTTCTGTCCCATCTCATTTATCACTTGACACCATCAGTCCCTTTATGTCATAGCTGGTTTTTACATTTTGTCTAGAACCAAGAATATGCCAAGTAATATCTAAGTAACTTCTATTATATTGTATTTTTTGTGAAATACAGAACATACATTCCTCGATATTCTAGTTGTTGTTTAGATTCAAGAATATAATGCATCATAGTCTACGTTCTATAATCATATCCTAGAAAGGTGTGGTAACAGAAGTATATACTTACTTATGGAGCTGAGCCCTTCTTGAAGAGAAGCCAAATCTGTAGCTACTCTAGAATTTCCCAGCAGTTTATGGAACCCAAAGGTTTATTACCGTGTTCACAAGAGCCCTCCACTGGTCCCTATTCTGAGCCAGATAAAGCCAATCCATACCATCCTGTATCTCTAAGATCCAGATCGATTTCTGGAGCTACCAGATTTTCTGAGAAGTAATGGTTCTGGAATGGGGTCCACTCAGTGAGGATAACTGAGGAGTTATGGCAGGGAAATAGCTGCTCCAGTCAATAAAACCGAGATTAATGGGCATAGGGATCAGTTGTGCTGACCACTTGACACCCTCTATCTGCAAAAGTTGGCACTAACTTCGCCGACAAGCAGCAGTCGCTCAGTTGGTATAGTTCGCTAACGGATTAAAACCACAGAGTTTGTTATTTTTTATTGATGTGGTGGGCTAATGTGTAGATGGTTGTATGGTAGGATTCTTCATCATTCAGGATTTATTTTTAGCCTACTTTCCATATTTTGGAAAAATAAAATGTGGCTTATGAGATCACCTTGTCTGTATGTCTGTCCAGCTGTCTCAGTATCCTCCCCTAAATTTTGTTAGGAGGCTTTTGAGATCACTTTGCTGTCTGTGTCTGAGCCCCAGCTCCAGATATTTTTTTCTTCTATGCATTATATATTGTATCAGGAAAAATAAAGATAAGTTATTCCCATAACTACTTGTTCTCAGCTGTAAATATGTGATTTGCAGGAATGTTTATTATCTGTCTTCATATTTTGCATTCTCAGCTTCAGTGATCTGTTTATTATCACTGCTAAAGTGAAAGCTAAATGAAAATTTTGCACTGCAGCCATGTTGTTGTATATTCTACAAAAGAAGCCTGTGCAAAAGTTGCATACTTTCTAGGATATGTTACCACATGTAATTATACAGTGCGTACAATCAAGTGCGCGCCGCAGAACGGATGCAACTCCTCCCCGCGACTGCATCCATTCTGCGGTGGTATGACTCACGGCAAATTGCAGCCGCGGCGTGCACTTGATTGTACGCACTGTATAAACTGGTATTAAGTGTTGTTGTTGTTGTTGTTGTTGTTGTTGTTGTTGTTGCTTCTGTGTTACAGGTACTGTAATGTTCATAGCAAATTTCATCATTTATTTATGAAAATCCTGCACATACAGTGTAGTTTATGAAGTATTGAACTCCCTAAAAGTATTTCTAATTTAATTGAATTTTTTTGTCATTCATCCAGAGAAATCACTGTCTTATGTCTAGGAATTTATTTTATTCCATATCATGTGCAACAGACATAAGAAGAGCAGTGTACATATTGTGTACTTTGTGCTTAGTTTATGGGGTTAGTGGTGATAATTCTGTATTTGTGATGATAACATGAAAAATGTTGTCACATGTTTAAGTGACCAAAGACAGTTTTTGGATTGGTAATCAGATTCTTTTGAACACTTCAAGATGCAACTTGTGACTACACTTTATGAATTACTATCACAAACAGACTAGCGTTCTCAGTCACGGTCTTTACTATGCTGTTTGGTGGCAGCTTCCAGTAGTGAATGATATCTACTTGCAGACTCATGTCCTCACAGGCTGGCGGCCATCTCACACCATCCTACTCTTCTAACTGTTGTCTCAAAAGTCTTTTCTAATGGCAGCTGGTCCTTGTTATATATAGCCTTGGCATGGACAGGGCAGAGAACACAGCCACTGTTGTGTGTGTGTGTTGTGACCATTGCCTAGCAATAGGCATGTTTGCAGAGCCATTTTCTGGCAAGGGCTGCCTCTGCTGGCTTCACAATTCTGGCTTTCAGCAGACATGCCACAATATTTTGACACTTCTTCAAACCTTTTTTTTTCAGCTAGACTAGGGATATATAACACCTGACTATATAAACCAAGGTATGATTTGCTGGGATCAGAATATGCAATTACAAAGTAAATTCAGTTTTTAAATTTATTTTGCATTGATTATTTTATGATGCTGTCAACATTTAAGACTGTATAGCTTCAGATAATAATATGATTAGTGAATGTGAAGCATTCGGTGTAAAGAGAATTTGCAGAGGAAACCCAGGTATGTGGAGAAAACCTGCTCCAGTACCACACTGTCCACTACCACTCACACATGATCTGATCTCAGATCAAACCAGGTTGCTACAGTTGGAAGCCAGCAAGTAACTGCATGAACTGTGGCATGGCTTTAACAGTTTTTTTTTAAATATTTTTTGGATGGTTTGCCTACAGGTCAGTTTGTCCAAGTGCCTGAAGAGGCGTGCAGTCCTGCCAACTTCAATCCATCTTCTCTACCTTTCATAACACTAATAAGTAAGTACCAAGTAGTCATTTCAGAAGCTTGCAGCACTGTTTATGGCCTGAAGGTTCTGAATAAACAATCTGGAAGAGAATTTTTTTAGTAATAGTTAGTAATGTTTAAATTTATTAATAAGGATCACATTAAGAACTTAATATAAAGGTTACACATTTCTGTTCTTTCAACCAGCAAAGAGCTGAAGAACTCCGTGAATTAGTTCAGGAGTAATATGTCAGGTTTACTTTTGTGAGGTACCAAGTTTGAATCCTAGCCAGAATAGGCTATCATGACATAAATTTTTTTGGTTGTTGTTGTTGTTGTTGTTTTCCTCAGTCCTACCAATGAAAAGCAAAGATAATGCCAAAAAAATTAGTCATTGCTGCTTTCACATTCTCAGCACATTCTTCTTTTACATTATTTCTCTGACAGTACCATGTAGTTTTAACAGATGTTATGTAGTGAACTGGAGCTGAGTCCGCCTTTCTTGAGATGCTTATGGTTTCTCAGCTTGTCAAGAAATTCCCAGGGTTCTAGAGAACCTCAATAGTCCTTACCAGGTTCACTAGTGCCTGTCATTGGTCCCTCTCCTAAGGCAGATGAATCTGGTCTACATCCTCCCATCCTACGAGGGTTATTCGCGTTGTCATTGTCGTCCCTCTCCTTTCTATTAGCAGTCACCGCCTGATTGCTGTTGAAACACTGGCATGATTTAGTAACTCACAACTTGGTGTGAATGTCATGTATTTAGTGATGAATCTGATATGCATATAGATTTCCCATGAGCAGGAATAAGGTACAGGATGTACAGAGGGTTATGTTTGGGGTAAATCCAGCAGTCTCTTCACACAGAGAAATGTAAGAACTCAAGGAATTTGTCACTGTCTTTGATGTTCATTATTTTCTCCTCACTGCATAGACTTAATACAGATTGTAACCAGGCCACCATATAGGTAACAGCTGTATCAAAATCTTTATTGTTGCTTGTATCTGACATCCATACTTTGATTCCAGCTACATCACTCCATAAAAGGAGATGTCCATATTTGGGTCGCTACACCATCAGCGGGCTGAGTGTTGACGGACGGCAGGTGTCAGCTGCCCGTCGGAAGAGGAAATGCAGTGATGAACAAGGAGTCCTGGATACTGGAAGTATAGATAACAAGGCAGACTGTGGCAGCTACAACTTTGAGTCTCTTGTCGTGGGGTGCTCAGAAAACTCCGATACCATGGAGTTCTACTCTTCATGTGACACAGAAAGTGTATCTGGTATGATATCTTATGTGCTTCATTGTAAGATCTGGTTGTTGATGTTTGTTAACACAGGAATTCCTTTGGAAGTTAGTAATGGTATTGATCTGGAAACTAAGAGAAAATTCTAAAAAAAGTTCATCATACTCTTAGCCAAAATTGTAATATATCAGCTATTAACTGCACTTTGAAAAACAGAATTAATCAGGAAGTGGACATTACTATTTTATTCAGAATTGTTTATTAAATTAAAACTACAGTTCTCTTGATTTAAGCGTGAGGTTTTCTTGATGCTGATTAGATTGTGGTCTTCTGGGTTTTGATGTTAAGTAATCTTGTTGGCAGGTAGCAACATCTCAAAACAACACGCTGCCTCCATTTTCAGGGTTGAAGTGTGTTGTGTGAAGTTACTGGCATCCAGTTCCTCGCACTATACAGTTCAACCTTGGCAGCATGTTCCTTGAAAANGTCTCTCCTGTTTATAACTTCGTAGCAAAGAATAAACGACATTCATAGCGGTGAAACCGCTAGCAAGAGCCACAGGAACTTTGCTGCAAGACAGGCATATGTAACAATGACTTATCTCAGCTAAACTCGTTGGCTTAGTATACTCTGTTCTTGTGACAACAGGCCAGCGAAAAATCTAACAATCTACAGCAAAACCATCAATTATTATGGGCGTTATAACATAGGTGTGCAGCTGGACGAAACATACACGACGAACCCCCCCAGACGATTTAAATCCCTGACGAAACATACACGACGAACCACGGCAACGGGTTAACACAGGAATTCCTTTGGAAGTTAGTAATGGTATTGATCTGGAAACTAAGAGAAAATTCTAAAAAAAGTTCATCATACTCTTAGCCAAAATTGTAATATATCAGCTATTAACTGCACTTTGAAAAACAGAATTAATCAGGAAGTGGACATTACTATTTTATTCAGAATTGTTTATTAAATTAAAACTACAGTTCTCTTGATTTAAGCGTGAGGTTTTCTTGATGCTGATTAGATTGTGGTCTTCTGGGTTTTGATGTTAAGTAATCTTGTTGGCAGGTAGCAACATCTCAAAACAACACGCTGCCTCCATTTTCAGGGTTGAAGTGTGTTGTGTGAAGTTACTGGCATCCAGTTCCTCGCACTATACAGTTCAACCTTGGCAGCATGTTCCTTGAAAATGTTTGTATCCACTTACAAAACTGTGTGGTGGCACAACCCAGAAGACCATATACAAAATTCTGTTGCCTGTTCTATTTTGATGTATGCAAGACCATGACAAATGTGAAGGGTTAGAGGTCTGTGAGAAGTTGTAGTGCATACTGTATGCTTATTGGATGGGACTTAGAACATGGGGAGCAGAGGAGAACACTTTCAACACTTACTTGTAGATGGGAGGAGGATATTAGCCTTTATCTATATATTAATCATCACTTAAACCCCAGATATGGACCTTAGCAGCTGGATTTTATATTGTTTTAAATGGTAATGGCTTCCGTGTGATACAGTAAACCCTCTTTATAATGTACACAGATATAACAGATTGTGTAAGATTGTGAATTTCTGGAGATGTTGAGGCATGAAGAAGGTTTGTAGTTACAAAACTATTTAAAAGAAAAGAAACCTAATATAAAAACGTTTATGTAATCACGTGTTTTTATATTTATTGCATGTGTTAGCTATGTATCCTATGGTGTACTACCTGACTACCTCTTCACCCAATTATAGCAGACAGATAATGAACACCCTGCTCCCCTTATTAGTCCATTATAATGAAGGTTTACTGTATATATATCTTTGGAACTGTTTGAGGTAACATATTCTAGTAAAGGAATCGTATCATCCAGTAAAGTTAATGAGAGTTCTGGATTAAAATATACTGGTGAATCCAAATATCCATTACATTTCAGCAAATGTTCCCTTTCTGTGTTATGACAGAACTCTGATTCAGAAGTTTGTGTCTTACTGAATATGAAAACATGGCCCTACACAGACTGCTTCAGTCAGTGAAATATGGATAAAGACTGAATGTTCCAGAGGCCATACAGCACGACAGTGTCATCAAGGTCTTCAAGAAGCTTGCGGGGAATCTGCATTGCCTTACATAACAGTGGCAAGTTGGGTAAAAGCCTTCAACGAGGGACGCCAAAATGTGGCAGTCATGTGTTGGCCAGGTCGTCCTAGTGTCAGTGAAGAAGTATATGCTCTTTCCGTGTTACTGGAGAGTGATCGACGCCATACAATTCGTGAACTGGCCCGAGAGACAGGATTAGCGCATATGACTGTGCTTCACAGTCTGAAGAAACGCCCGGGCATGAGAAAAATTGCATCACGATGGGTTCCGCATGATTTGATGGAAATGCTGAAATGGCAAGCTGTGTCTGATTTGTTCGATTGATGGGGATGGGAGTGCTGTACCATCCACCATACTCCCCGGACTTAAGCCCTTGTGACTTCGACTTGATACCTAAGAAGAAGGAACCACTTCATGGCATTCGCTTCAGAGCTGTTCCAGAGATTCTTCAGGCAGTAGACCACCCTATTCGAACACTGAATGCGTACAAACACGGAAACGTTCACTCACTACCAAATCAGGGCGTAAGCATCGGATAGTAAAGGTCTTGAAAGTAGTATGATCTTTGTATGTGAATGCATTGTCTTCGATATACATGTTGCAGCCAGTAGCCATGAGCCCACTGAGGAAACATACAGTTGCTGCTATCCACCTGTGAAGGCCAACGTGGTGCAGGCATTACACTCAGGCTAAGTGTCTCATACCTTGCTGTGGCACTCCGAAGATTTGAACTGTATGTTGAATCACTGGAGAAGGCCATAAAGACATTAGCAGTCCCTGACTCTGTACAACGCACATCGGTAGGGTGGAAATTGGCTCAGCCCAGGCTGGGTGTCCCGCAGTGTGAGATAATTTTGATCCCCAGGGCCGACCCACTGCACTGGAATGTCACGTCGTTATTTGCGAAAGATGTGTCGGGTAGCATCACATGACTCATTGCTGTGTAAACCATCACATAATGGTCACCTAGTGTTGGTTCTTTGTATAGAATAAGTTATGTTGTGTCCTGCGATTGACAATCCCGCCAGCTACGAAATGTGCACTGTTATCTGCTTTCTTCACGGTAAAACATGAGTGCTGAGGAAATACATTTTAAATTGTGCACTGGGGTTTATGGCCAAACTGTATAATGAGCAAAGGAACTGTAAGACAATGGTGTAGAATATTCAAAAGATGTGTGGGTGGACACATGTTCACAGTGAAGAGTGAAGTGGTTGGCATGCTCTCTGTAGTGAGTGATGATCCTTTTCAAAGTGCTGACCAAAACATTTGTGAAACTTTCAGAACTCCCACAAATTACATGCATGGTTCTATAGTAGATTGTCACAGGTAGGCTATGCTATCACAAGTTTTGTGCAAGATTGGTTCCAAAAATGCTCACAGGTGCACACAAAATACAGAGAATGGCTTTGGCTGTGTCATTTTTAGAGTGATACCACGAAGATGGCAATTAATTTCTCAATCACATCATACAAGTAACAGGTGATGAAACTTGGGTTTCATTTGTGTGTTGAAACCAAGGAGCCGTCAAAGCTGATCACAGCTGTTTTCTATGACAGGAAAGGAGTGCTGATGGTGAAATTCATATAACAAGCAATCACAATAACGTCAGAAGTGTATTGTGAAACACTCTGAAATTTTACGTGTGGTTTTATTTACTCTCCAGTGATCTTGGCCAAAGCCCATAAAAACACTATTAAATTTTAACAAATTTTAATTTTCCTCAAATTTGTGTTTCTTCTCAATTTCAACTTTTTTTTTTTTTTTTTCAGTCTTGACAACAGAAATTTTCCAGTTGTAAGTATGAAATTCTGTTTCATAAAATTCAAGGACACTGGCACCCTTACTCTCACGTTCAGAGTCTTAGTAAAATAGGCATGTCTTTGCATATGAAAGTTTTTGAACCTTTCATGACTTAGCTCAACCAATCATAGACACAAACACATTAAAGTGGTCCCTTCAAAAGTAAAAAGTCCAGGTTTCATTCTGTTGGTACTCATGTCGTCATAGTTTCCATATCTGAGACTTGACCATAATGTGTGACGTTGCTCATTACGACGTTAACATTCTTGCTTATGTTGAATATGCAGCGTACTTCTGCCATGGCAGCTGGGAAGACAACGGGACCAGCTACTTAATTGCATCTCCTGTCAGTCGCAAATCAGTCGGAGCCCGGCGATACTGCTTTATCTACACTCGCAGTGGTGGGGAGTCCAGCATGGGGGTGTTGCAGAATACTGATGGAAACAAGCATGGCGGTGTCGGACCTGTATCTGCCATACTGAGGCTGTCCAGTGTCACTGAATCCTGCCATCGCAATATCAACCCAGGGGTCACAGGTGCCTGGGCAATCAATCTCACAATTAATGGTATGTAAATCTGTATTGGCAACAAATAGTTGGTAATTTTAATCTGATAAGACATAAACTGTCTTATAAAGAAGACAGTGATCTAATTGTAAAGACATGTAGGTACATAAGAATTCAGAGTGTAATTAACACGACCTCAAGCCATCAGTAATTTAAGCACACAAGAATTCTCACTGATAGAACATTTAGTAGTTCAGAATCATATGACAGTGATGCTCATGAAAAGTAGTTAGTACCAGTGTAAATGCACTTAATCTCATGAACAGCAGATAAGTGAAGGGCTAATGAAATTTAATTGTATGTGATTTATTTTAATGTTATAGGTTTGTGTTGATATGAAGATGTGTTCATTTATGAGTGATTGCCAGGAAAATAAAATATCATTTATAAAGATTTTTACAGGTTCACATCACACTACCAACTTCAGACAACTCTTTTGACATGTGGATGATGTTGGTTTAGTGAGACGTGAGTTGTGTTTTCAGGTCAGTGTGCAGAGGCATCAACGAGTGCTGTGTCAATGACAGCAATTGCAGTTCCCTCCCTCTTCTTCATCATGACGCTTGCAGCTGTAATATCGAATATGAGATGATGACGAAGACAATATGAGACAAACAACAAGAACACTCTGGGCCGCAGTCGAGACATGCTCCGAAGCTCACCAAGCACCTGGTGGCTTAACAGTGAAGGATATTTCTAATCAGCCCATGGTAGTGATAATTCTTATGAAGACAACATGGTTGCTGTACGGAAATTGTAGTTGGAGTTTGGGTAACACTGCTGCTAAGAAAGCTTTTAAGTTAAGATGCCTCAGTAATAAGACATAACACTAACAAAAATATAGGATGGCTCAATAAAAAAATGGCAGCAAATAGTGAGGGGGTATAAAATGAGTGTGATTGGACAGTTCTGATTGGTGAGAATTTTGAACAAATAGTGTGGTGATTAATTCCAATCAAAATTGAATGGCTCAATAGAAAAGGAGCAGAGGAACTTGTGTGTTTTTGTCCAAGCTGTACAGTACAATTTCTTTCTGTAAGTACGATTCGAAACAACGAGTGAACCTGGCCCACGCTATGGACAACAGTATCAACAAAGACTGTATAACAGCTTATTGATTACAATGTTACTAATTTGTGGAAGTGTTTTCTGAGCATATTAGGCAGTTCAAGGTCCATTACTAGCATTAGTTGTATTTAACAAGGTGTCCTGGATCGAACTGTTGGTAATTTGCAGACACTACACACTCTCAGTTGGTGCCTATGTGTAACATGGAGGCAGATTTTTTAGTTTTCAGCCTTGTTGTTGGTTTGAGTTGGGTTGGTGCATCCTGTGGCCTTTGAATGAACATTGGGCAGGAAGTGTGATGTGACCATGGTCATGAAGGATACCGAATTGACACAACATGAGGCTGTGTGAAGCAAGTAGTTACAGTGGCAGCTTACAAACAAGCAAAGAAGCAAGTATGCAGGCATATGGGAATGGTTTGGTATTCTTCAGGAACTACTGCTGAGATAAGGTACAAGTCATTCATCTGATATCATGTTCCTTTATTCTGTTTTAATGCCTTTTCCCTTTTGCTGTTATATGTTGGAGTTATGTGTTCAAGTAATGTTAAGTTCACAGGATTAGAAATTTCTCATATATTATGATTTATCATTCAGAAAAATTTTGTAGACATTCAGGTTTCCAGTAAAACATGGGATATTAAGCTGGCTTTGAATATCATCTCGGTTTTCTGCATAGTGGGTTTACACATAGATCAGCTGAGAGAGAACAGATGGAGCACATACTAGTTGAGAGTGCATTTTTAGTAACAGATGGCATGATATATTTTGTTTGCATCAGTCACTACTCTGAGACATGAAACTTGGCTGTGTATTGTTATGGAGTTTGGACTGTTAGTCCAATAAAAGTCATCATGATTGACTGTAGTGGATTCTGTCATAACAATAACAAACTGTGAATTCAACAACAGAAAATTAAAGACTAAACTTTAAGGCACTAAAAATACCAGTGGCAAAGAATTGGCAACCAGAGAATGTGAGAATGAGATTAGTTTGACACTTTGCAGACAGATGTTTTCATTTAGAAGTTGCAGGTTAATGTATCATTCCAAACCTGTGTCTTCCACACATTAACTGTGACTGGATATAGCCAATTGTCCGTTTCATACTAGAATTTTGTCTTCAGATCTGTAACATTAGGCTACATCCAGTTGTTCATTTTCTTCATCGTTATGTAGCCACACAGCCGCACATTATACTTCTTACACTGTATCAGTTTCTTTTCCTCCTGCAGAACAGGTACAAGGATGAACTATCGAGAATTGAACTTGCCATTGTTGGCTGAACTTTACTTTGAGCCAAAAAAGTTTGTTTATACATTGCACATGTTTTGTCTAGGACACTGAAGTAAGGTAAACTCATAGCCTTTTCAATTGAGTTCCGTGGCAAGCCAGGTTGGAAGTCCCTGTGAGTCATTTTGGCACCACAAGGGAGCTGTTCAACATTACAAAATATAACATGTGAAGAGAAGTTCTTTTGTTCACTTCTGTATCCAGCATTGAACTGAGTAACTGGTGGCCATTCTGTCACATTTGTCAACCTGACCAGTTTGTCAGTTGAGTAATTCTGCAAAATTTTTGGCTTTATGGTATTACCATGCTTAACACCGAAATTGAAGTCCTGCCAACGGATTGCATGTTTGCTACTATGTCTATCTCACATTCATAGTATTGTCTCGTGTCAGTGATTTGTTGGTAGCAGGAGGTCCCATGGTATTTCTTTTCAACAGAAAAGGGAGGTCTGACTTCTGCAGCTGCTGCTTTTATGTTCTATCTGTGCAATTCCACCTTTTTATCAAGTGCTTTACAGTAGTGAGTATTGGTGTCATGTGTATCAGTCTTGTTACATAATTTGTGAATCATATTTCAGAGCCTATGTTTCTTTGGGATGTATTGTTTGAAGATTATCCTGCCTGTGAAAAGTGCTGTAACTTAATCCACAGCCACATGTTTTGAAGGAGAGTAATATTTGAGTAGATGTCAATCACAAGATAAAAAATATATCTTGAAGTTCGCAGTGTGGACAAAATATTCATTGCCATCAGGGTACCTGGCCATTTTTGGCATTTTTTTCTTTCAAAGCCTACTCTCAGATTTGTACATTGTAAGAGAGATTTCCTTATCAAGCATGTCTGCACAGCTCACAGTACTGTTATTTCAAGACAGAGGCTTCCTTTTATTATTTTTCTGAAGAAGGCCTACAACTGTATCTGTCTGTCTAACTTATTTTATATCTACAGAAAGGTGCTAACAATTGACAGTTACAGCGCCTTAAGTTTTTCATTGATGTTGCTGCAAACTGTATTACTAATTTGATGTGACTTTATATGAATCAGAACACTTCAACTTTAGTATTAACCCTTTAATGGTTAATGAAACCATATATGGCTGCCAGCTCTAGGTTAGCTGCTGTTCACAAATAGTCATCAGCAGTTTGGCATCCCTGCACATGCACATATATTTTTATCTTTAAAATTAATAATTTGTTTATAGAACATGAATGTTTTAAAATCAGTAACTTCTATTCTGTGTGTGTGAAATTACATGAAAAACATAAATTGATATTTCAGCCCTTCTGCAACTGGTGGAACATTTCCACCTGTAGGCCATAGTATGCTCTGCTTCATGGTGGAAATGTTCAATCTGTAATAGTGAAAGTGTTGATTTCCCATATAAAGTGTACAGTTTGCCAAACAGATTTCAAATTGTACCAGCATTCAAGCAGACTTTGTGCATTATGTAAGTCAGGTTCAGTATAAAATATCAATTTATTGTTCAGGTACAAAGCAGTGCTGCATGCTGATCATGTTCACTTATCTGTGGGCAGGGTAGTGGTGAATACAATGAGTGTTGACACCAGGTCTGAAACATTATGCTACAGGAATGTTTTTTTATCTAATTAATGTTTTATGAATGACAGATCAAAGCAATGTGTGGAAGAATATACAATACCAGTCAGGAAAGTACTGGATTACAGGCTCTAAAATTCCAAAATTCATACAGGCATTTTCAGTAAGTTCTGAAGGGTTTTAGTTTGTGCCCTTTTATTTATAATTAATTCAGTAAAGATTCATGTTGTAATTATTTACATGTAAATCTCTAAAAATTTGTTCACCAATTCAGATGCACATTATTCTGTAACAGAAGCAAGGCTATGAACTGCAAGTAATTTTAAGACAGGTCCACTGAACATGTGATGAAGTTGCCTTTAGATCAGCAGTTCTTGGACTTTATTCCAGCCAAATGGTACCTGTTAGAAATGCCCATGATCACATTTCAACTACTTCATTTCTGTCTTATACCTCCATAACAATAACAACAAATTAACCATCACAGAATTCATATGCGGTGTGCTACTAGTTGCAGTCTTTAAATATACACATTAGATCATGTTGTGTGCTAACTCTGTTGGATGAGAATTGTGGTTACTTGCAGTGCACATACATCATGCAGCTTTACAGAATCTTGCTATGCATAAGTATCCCATATGGCACAGAATATATTGTACTAAGTTAGTAATGAGGCTGAGTAAAGGCATCTGTAACTTACCTTGGTCTGCTATTGTGCACACCACTTTAGTGTCCATTCTTTTTTCTTCCCCCCCCCCACATTTCTGTAGCTCACTCAAAGTATTCAAAACTAGGCATACCAGCATTAACCCATTCACAGCTGGCTTAGGAGCTGAACCATTTAATTTCATATATGGGGAGAAAATACGAGTCTTGTAGTAGTTCTATTTCCAGTAATATTAGAATGAAATTTCATTGTTTACACCAGTTTAGAAAGAGTTTAGAATAGTTTCAGTACAGAGATTTAAGTAAGTTAATAAATTTGTCTTGTTTCTTGTACCACGAGAAAACAGCTAGAAAGAATTTAAGTATGGGCCTTAAAATTATTACACATAACTAGTTATATGAATTACTACAGATGACAAAATTTTCCGGTGTGCTGTATAAAATGTTGTCATTGTTAAGATATGCTGAGTTTTGATTAAACAGTGAAGTCTGTAACATATCAATACATGAAGCTAGTACACAGCAGAAAGAAGACCCTACCATGTTTGTACTTCATGTAAGTAGTGAATGGGTTAAGAGAGATCATTAATATTCTCAATGACAAGCTTTGTTTTGATATTAACACCAAGTGCCAGGGTGATAATGATGGAGTGAGTGCAAATACAGTAATGTGGATGTTGTATATTTTATGGTTATCTTGTATTGGAAGATCTGATTTGAGTAAAGTACATAAGTACAGGCTTAAGTAAGAATGCTTTTGCAACTTTCAGAGCTTTCCATTACCTTTAGTTTTGTTTTAGGTCAGTCTGGGATTTGATGGATAGGCAAGTGTAAGAAAATCCTAAATTCATTGAGAGGTTATAAAGTGTTCAAAGTTAGAATGGTTTGTTTTGAGTGTAGTTCATCCTTCACTATAGAAAAATGTTGTGCAGAATAAAGCTTTGTGAGGCTGAAGGGCCAAAGCTTGATTATATCAATGCCTGAATTCATTATTGCACACTTTTTATGTATTAAGTTATGAGCTTATTAGTTGTCAAAATAAGGACAATGCAACCGAGTTCCTTGTATGCAGTGGGAGTGTGACAGACTGAAATGTATCAAATAACAATGAAAGGTTAACAATTTTAGCATGATGAATTAATACTTAATTTTCTTATGTATGAGGTATACATATTGTCACCTGAATTCTTAACGGTTTTATTTCCACATTCTGTGGAATGGAGAAGATGAGGAAACACTTCTTTAAACATGAATACTTGAACATAGGAGACAGAACAGTACGGAATTATTTCTTGTAATTTCTCTTGTTATTTTACTCAGTTTAATTATGGATATAGAGTGCTTATGTCCTAAGGAACTAAATATGTTTATAACCTGAAAAATAATGAAAATTAGAGGTCAAACCATTAAGAACTAAGGTGATGATATGTCCCTCAGTATCTGAATCTCATAGATCCATCTTGTATTCACCTTCTGGCTGAATTTTTAGAGAAGAAGAAAATATTTTTTGTTTGGTTTATGAATGGAATATAAGATGTTTGTTACTGCAAGTATCTGGAAGAGGAGTAGGGGCAAGACATCGCATTCTTAATCAGAGAGTTTTGGTTTTGATCACCAGTTAGATTTTCTTGCATGCTTCCTGTGCCCACGAAACCCATTGATGCTTTGGGAATATGGAGAATGTTAGGCAGACACTGAGTCACTCTCATATCCATTATCTTCATCATCATACAAATAAATAAGTAAACAAACATTGTGAGTTGTTCCTCTGATGCAGAGTACATAACATTTGGGGAAAAAGGATGGAAAGATGTGTAAATATTATTGATCTTGGTTAGAATAACCACCATAGGAAGAAAATATAATATTCAGAATCTTATTTCTGAATTGATCTCCCATTATTTCTTGTGACAGGAAATTGGCAGATAGTATTGTGTAGCAACTACATCCTATTATTTTTAGTGAAGTGCTTGTGCAGAATAGTGTCTTATGAGGCAGCAAGTTCAGTGGCATTGTTGGCCACAGCCCAGAGCAATAAATCTTTCAGGCTGTCTTTTCTTTTTCGTTTTTAAGAGTTCTCAGATTATCCACCATAAAGTGGTTTATGCAAAGTAAAATAATATAGCTTCTGGGGGTATGCAGTAGTGTAGTTGGTTGAGACACTATGCTACAAGCCGGAAGGTCACGGGTTCAAGCCCTGATGAGGTCATATGATTTTTTCAAGTGACCTAATCCTTCCAGCCACACTATGGCCCTGGGGTCGACTCAGCCTCTAACAGAAATGAGTACCAGAAATATTCTTGAGGGTAAAGGGCAGCCAGCACGTAAGGCTGACAACCTTGCCGCCATCTATGAGCGGATTGTCTAGAAAATTTGGGAACCTCAACATTTCACAACCCTATGGGCCTCCGTGGCCTGTTACAGGGATACCTTTACCTTTTTACTTAGCAGCATGCAGTATAAAATGTTAGAATCTTCTTGATACAGTACTGTGACTCACAATTGTTACCTCGATAAAAAGTATACTCTCCTTGTGCACTGTGAACTTCAGTTTGCAGAGCAGTACTCATCTTTTACACGCAACTATCATGGTCATTTTACCCTGCTATTTATTTTATAACATTTTTATGTGACATTGTTCATCAGTGTTGTACGTTATGGTCAGATAATGGGGGAAGTCATTGGAAGCTGGGGTAATTTAGTTATAATAGAGAATTTGCTATGGACTATGAAAAAGTTAAATAGTTCCATCCAGTGTGAGTGAACATGAATAATTACATGAATAATTGAAATAAGAAAATCTTAACCAGTCACACTGGACGGAACTATTCAACTTTTTCATAATATTAGTGTGACAGACGAGAATGAAACAAATCAAATGCTATGGATTAGTTAAATGAGGGATCAGAGTTCTATTCCTGTCAGGGTAAAGAGACCTTTCTTCCTTTTACAGCATCCCAACGAGCTCTGGGACCCTTCCAGCTTCCTGTCTCGTGTGTACTGAAGCCTCCTTTCCCAGCCACCATGTGAAGGTAACTTAGTCACCTCAATCTAGCGCTGAGGTTAAGAATGTATGAATCTGTACCTCCATTCCTCCCATATGCTTGCATGGCAACATACTTAATTGAGCACAAGGACACTTTAACATAGTATATTAATTTTTATTAAGTAATTCTTGTCATGTAATAGGGCCTGTTTGTCGTTTGCATGATTAAGGAATGAAAAAGTGAGATGGAATCAACATGGATCTATGATATGTTACACTTATAAGTACATTCAGCAACTTTTAAAAGGCTGTCAGTATATCTTAATTTACATTTGTAAATATTTTTTACACATATACTAAAATAGTTCCTGCTTTTTTATTTTATTTTATAATTATAACAAAGATTGAGTTCTGTGAGGCACTGGAATGAATGATTTCAAACAAATGTGTTTAGTAGTTGAAGGTTTAACTGTGAGTCATGTCCTACACAGTGTCAGCATTGATTTTATTTATGCTGTCATACTGGTACACTTTTGAAATGAAGAATCCGGCCAAGCCTACAGGTTGTGAGAGGAGACAGTCCTAATGAGTGGATAGGCTATTGTCGAGACATATATTTCCATATTGTAATATTCTGACATTTAGCAGCACAACAGAAAGAGAAGACTGGAAATATTGCAGACACCTAACTTGTTACACTAGTTTTGCTACATTGATATTTGTTCAATTCATTGTACTAATTAGAAGCCCAGTATTTGGGGCTCTAAATTTTGTTGCTCAAATATTTTGGTTCTCATAGATATAAGAACTATGGCATCTGTAAAACGTTTTCTCAAGGGAAATATATTTGTAATATGTTCAGAGTTCACTGAAGTGTTAAGAAGTAAATTTCAATCATTCTAGAACCAGAATATGGATGGATCTCAAGAACATGAATGAGGTATTTAAGAATTATTAAAAATGTTGAGAGATTTGAGGTTCTCATGATGGTGACTGTGACAAGTACTGTTCTCTGGGATGTGATGCCATATACTCTGATAGAAGTTTATTGATGTTCTGAAGGAATGACAGTAAACCTTCACCAGTTTATATGGCATCACATCCCAGAAAGTAGTACTCTTACTGATTTTGTTTTAAAAGGACCTGTTTGCTTTCACTGGCTCCGGAAGGGGTCTATTGGAGGTGTCCATGGTGATGACAGTATTTGGGTCCCATAAGAATGGAATTGTTTGACTACTCTGGAAATGACCTGTACTGGGGAAATGACTTAAGTGTACATTTCCATAAAAAAAAAAGAGCAGAAAATAAATTATTTGAAGTGTAAACAGAT